TCCAGGTTTCCGTTGGGAAGGAATGGAGAGCCCAACAGGAGCAGCGTCCAGGCAGATTAGTTCAGCAGAGTGGGAGGACAGTAGAGAAACTTAGTTGGGGCTAATTTGGAAGCCCTGGGGCTAGAGAAGCAAGTTAATCTACACACTCAAGCCAACCCTGACTCACATGGAAGTGACTTCAGAGCAGCTTTCATAACCCCACCTGGAAGTTGGCCACCTTCCCCCCTCTCAGCTCCATCTTTGGCTTCAGGCCACTTACCTACTCTCTCTGATCCTCCCTTTTCTCATCTCTAACAAGGAGAAAAGGGCTTAGATGAAGAATAACAAGATCACTGGCGTGTTAAGAGGACTGAAATTGGAGTTGTAACATCAGGTGCTCATGTTGGCTTTGCTAGTTTGCTGCACGAACATGACAGGTCATTATTTTGCTCTCTGGGCTTCAGCTCTCTTATCTCTCTAATGAAGGCCTAGGAATGGTAAGGGCCAGGGCCCCTTCAAACACTGAAGTGATGATTCCTTAAGAAGTAAAAGTATGGGACAGCAGGGGAGTTATACAAGGGTGTGGCTGTAGACAAGATAGAGACACGTCTTTGAGAACAGACTATAAGTTCCCAGGTGCATCTCTGCCTTCTTTCCAACACCCCCAGGGTAGCTCATGAAGCGCGAAGTCAAGGACCCTCCAAGAAGTCCTTGTTCTTGACCTCATCTCACCCAGCACCAGGCTAACTGCAAAGCTGATTTAATCTGAGGACTGTGATAGCAGCTGCTCTCCTGACCCTGCCCTGCTCCCAGCCCCAGTGGCTGCTGCAGCGCGGTTTCTTCTCATTGCAAACTCCACAGAACTACCTCTGCTAAATGCCAACCTGGGCCAAACACAAATTCTTAGTAAAAGCCAAATTTGAAGCATGAGGCCAAGTTTGTGTTTTAAGTACCTTGTGAATCAGTCAGAATTGAAACACTCTTATCACAATGTTCTTTAATGGCTGGTCATGATGAGCCTAAACTGCTAAACTGATGCTCTTATATTTTTCTTCTACATTTCTGAACTTTCGAAAATTCCCTGGATGTTTTACTTACTTTAAACCCCTTGGCACTTCAATGTATATTTCCTAAGAAACAGGGTATTCTTTTACATAAGCACAGTACAATTGCCAAATTCAGGAGATTGAACATCCATTCTTTCATCTATAGTCCACATTCCACTTTTGTTAACTGTTCTACTAATGACATTAAGAGCAGAGGCAGATCCTCCGGGTCTGTGAGGAATTCCATGATGTGTGTACCTTCTTCTCTGACGATGCTGGGTCAGCTAGAATACAGAGTCCATGGGAGATTCTTTTATCCATTCTCAACTGTGGCTGTGTATAAGCTGGGCTGACAGTCAAAACGTGTTGGGGAGGACAGAACGACTAGACAGGTGCCTTCCAGATGTGAGCCAAGCCGCTGGTTGTCTCTGAAAGCACAAGGGTGGGTGAGGTGCCCACCTATTTTCTCAGTAGTACCAGCAACTGTTTACTTCCTTCCTGAAGAATGACCTGCATTTGCACTGCCTTTGGAACCACACTAGTTTGGGGGTCAAATTTTTGCCTCTTAGTAGCTTCTGAACTTGGACAGTCAGATATAAAAATCTTCCCACTTCATTTTTGAGGATTAAATTAGATGATGCATGTGACAGACACTGTGTGGGGTACATGGCAACTGCTCCAAAAATGTGATTGTAGTTACTTTACAGTTGGGTAGCTCAGAGCCCACACTGAGATTTCTGGTCTCTCCCCTGTTCATTCATTCCTATTTCCTGTGGTAGTTTGCCCTCTCCATTTCTCTGATTTTTAAGGGCAAACAAACTGTCCAGGTACCTCTTAATATTTGTCACTAATATCCCTACCAGCAGTAAATTTTTTCCGCAGCCACGATCCTTACCTCTAGCACCACCTCGTGGTTGCCTGCACAATCTCACCCTGGCCACTTCCAGAGGTGGGACTGGTATCAGAGTGCCTCACATCTGAACCCTGAGTGCCAGGTTCTGCACTAGACATCTCATATGCCTTGGTGCATTTAATCCTCACAATTCTTGAGGATTTGGCATCATTACAGGTGGTAAAACTGCTGTTTACGTTAAGACTTCATGTCTTCTGCTACCATGATGCCATCCTGAAAGCTTTACAGCTGGAGTCTCTTTTGATTTATGGTCTTACATTGATAGGGAAACTGAGGGACAGAAAGGGTATTTTGGCTGACATCACAAGCCCAGCATGACAGCCAGAACCAGAAGAGCTCTTTGTCCTGGGCGCTTCACTGAGTTCAAGGATGAGTCTGCCACAGGCAATTTCAGATACTCCTGAGACCAGTTCACCCAGGCAGGATTTCAAACTATCAGAGAAGCCTGGAGATAAGTTGTTTGCACATGTAGCTCTAGTTCCTGTTGTTGAGCCACATCGTCGGCAACTTTGGCACCCAGTGCTCCCATACTCCTTGGCTGGTCTGTTCCTATGTCCCTGGAGGCACAGTCCCATCAGGGTGGAACTTGGCAAATGGGAGTCCCAGTAGGCTCTCAAGTTGGCAACAAGGGAGAAGCTGGCATGAGGCTTAAACTTCGCCTTGGCACTTGGCCCTGAATCCACTGTGCCTGTCTGGGAGCGCCATGGCATGAGAACCGGAGGCAGAGAACAAAAGATGGCAAATGCTACAGGTCCAGGCAGGCAGCATGCACAACAGCCCACACATCCGGCACCACTGTGTTCCCTTCCAACTTTTGACTTCAAACAGCACCTAGGGATGCATTAGGAGGAAAAATTATACCTCTGCCATGCAGAGGCATGTCTGTCCCTTGCCAGAGGATGATTGGGTTTCGTCAAGGCTATCAGCTAGATCAGACAATAAGCAAAAGTATGCTGAAAAAGCAAAGTGACAGAGAAAGTGCCAGTTTTATTAAAAACATTTTCTCAAATGTGAAGTAAACCATGCATAGCCTTGGTTCCTCAACTAGGCTTCCTAGGTTGCCAAGCAGCTCTAATAGGCACCTCAACCTTTGAGGAAAGGAAATAAATCCTTTCCTGATCTCACCCTGGCCTAAAGCCCTGCTCTGGTGGACCAGCATAGGACTTGCTCTTGGATGATGGAATTCCTCATCTACCCAGCACAAGGGGTACAGATCAAGGAGAAAGAGGGCTGTTTCTGCTCATCCATTTGGCCCTTTCTATTCAAATACAACCAAATGTAGAATGTCAACTCTGAATTTACGCCTTGGATAAAACTTGGTTTCACCACCAAAGAGCCACTACTTAACCTACACTTTGGGTCTGTTTCATCATTTATAAGATGGGGCACATGTACTTCCACAGGATCTTGTTACATCGGAATATATTCCAATGTCTTAAAAAAAAAAGAAAAAAGAAAAAAAAAGACAAGTTTCAGGTAGCCCCAGCAACTGGAAATGTCTTCCTCTGGAGCTTAACTTGGGGGTTAGGACCTCAGCCATCCTTTGCATACACCCTTCATAGGCAAATGTAGTGAAGACAACTAAAATCCGAGGCTGAAAGTTATTAACTATGACTAGGCTGACACATGCTTGGAGAGTTCACTCACACTGTCTCCACAGTGCAGAGCTTTCTAGGAATAGGCCTAAAAAATCTCAAGCACACAACGTGTATTCTTAAATATGGTTTAATACTCTTCTCCATTTCTGTACATCACAACACCAAGATTTTGCTGCTTAGGATCTCTCTGTAGAGGCTATAGAGAATGCAAAGGCTATGGTTTTCACCCCCTCTTATTTATGTGTTTGTATGTGTAAGTGTAATACATATCAGTATATATTGATACACACATCAATATATAATGCAATATATATCACCGAAGAGAACACATTGATTAAAGAAATACAAAAATTTGGCATCATTTCCAAACTTAAATAGTAAAAATAAAAACTACAAAAGGAGCTGCATACCCTAAACGTATCATGTGAAACAAGCATTCAAAAATGTAAATTTACATCCAATTTCTCTGGTCTTGTCATATCACATTAGACCCATTTACAATGGCAAAACCCTAAGGTACTGCTGTGAAGAGAGCGTTTGCTCGCTCTTGGGTGTTCTGCAAACAAACAGCAGAGCCCAAAGCAAAAGCCTGTTCCGGTGAAGCCTCCCATGTCGGTGAACACCAAAGAATCGACTTCTCACTGGGGGTTGAGACATCAGGTTATACATCGACAGACAATCATTTGGACCTCAGAGTACAGTGTGAGAATCAGAAGATTTACATTTAAGACATACCCTTCATTCAAGTGAAACAGGATTATTGGAACGATAGGCAGGTCTGCAACCTGGGAACAAGGAGCTGGTTCAGACCAATAAAGCTACAAGTGACTGAGTCAAGTCAGTGAAGAACAGCAGTCAGGCACTAAAGTGTTAAAAGTACCCAATTTGAAAACCAAATGCACCCCACTAACCGATCAGTGTGGGGGTGATACCAATTGACTTTTAAAACCTTTGGTCCTTCAAAGTCCATTTGGTATACTTTTTTCCATTGCTACCACTGGGAACATCCTATACACTTTGTTCACTACCACCACCTCGGGCACACCACGACCTTGCATGTTAGCTGGGGCCAAGTTCCACTTACAGCCCAGCTGTGAAACATAAGCTTCAGGTTTTCAGGCCCACTTTTGGATCCAACATGGTTACTTGGTGCCAGAAGCTGTGTCCCATCCCTTCCCACCCCTGCCCTTCCCACCCCCCTCCCATAATTTCTCATGAGAGGTGCTCGTTTAAGTCCCATATTTGAAACAGATCCTCCAACCCCACCAGGAGGTCAGGGGGTTATAATTACATGCACAGTCATACATGTCTTGTCTGTCGTTCCTGTGAAAACCTTGCAGTTCATTTTTTAAAAATCAAAACATTCACATAATCTCATGCCATCCAACACAAGGAAAACACGACCACCTCCCTTTTACCAAGGATAGACCCAGGCAAAATAAAATATTCTTTAAATTTCTTTGCTTCCACTTAAATTGCATGTTTTATTTCTCCCAATCCCAGCAATAGCACAGAAGCCCCGTCATATCCATCCCAAACTGGTTTCTAGTAGGCTAGGAGAACCCTTGTCAAAGCAATTGATGCTAAGAGTTCCCAAAACCCTGGGCACAAGAGCGCCTGCAGAACAGATGGAAGGAAACAGTGCACTGACCTAAATGCTTCTCATGTCAGTTTGACTTTGCAAAGCAGTTTGCATCCTTGAAACTGACAGTCTGGAGAGGGAGGGGTAGTGAGAGGGAGTGAAGTTGAAATTGCCTCCTATTAGCTCACCCTTTCAACATTAAACAGAGACCGAGAGAGAAATGGTTCCAATATTTCACCACATATATTTCTTCTTATGCAGTCTAAGCTGAGAATGCCATGTAAATGGGTCACTGCGAAATGCAGCAATTTAATTTTTCTCCAATCAAAATAAGAAACAAACCAGTGAGATCTCATTTCTATTAACTTTTGAAGGTTTACAGCAGTTAAAGTATTTTTGCTTCTATGTATGAAGGTTAAAAAAATCATTTTTTTTTTTTTCATAAAATACAAGAGCAACCAATTCCACCATCGAGTAAAAGTAAAAACTGGGATTCTTGTTTAAATTAGTCCAAAGTGGCATTTAGGAACTTAGTTGTAGGCTGCTGCGCTGACACCATGACAAACCAAAGTGTAGGGTTGGGTCTGGTTTTGTTTCGGTTTTCTTTTCAATATCCAATGCTCATGGATTAAGTTCTGGAAACGTTCCAATTGTAAGGCAGGGATCTGTTTGGATTCCACCACGGGTATGCTCCTTGGGTTGGATGCTGGAGGGCGAGGCACGTTTTGCCGGACCCATGTCGACTACCTAGTAGTCATCAAGGTCAAAAAATTCATCATCTCCTCCTTGGTATTCCATTCCCTGGAAATCTACTCGGTACCGCAAGATACCTGTGGAAACAAACCAAAGAATAGATGTCACCGTGTTCATGGGATGGGGCAGGTTCACAGTAATAGCGAGGCTCAATTCCCTTGCAGATGCACAGAAAGCAAAGACAGGTGATGATAACATGGTTCAAACTAAGGAACCTGCAGCTATGTGCTGTCCCAACCTCCTGCCTCAGTGATGATAAACATACATCAAATCTGAAGAAATTTTATTTTGGGATAGCTGGGAAAGGTGCTGGCCTGAAACCCTGGCTTTAAATTTACTTTTCTGATTTTCTACTCACCTCCAATTCCACCAAATCCTTTCACAAATTGAGATCCTTCTTGGGACTTATCTGTGACAATTTCCAACGTAGCTCCAAATTTTTTGTAGTTGTTAGCAAACCATTCCAGTAAGGGCATGCTCTCAATTAGTTCATGTTCTTGTCCTGTCTACAGTGATCGTAAGATGCAGAAACGATGGGTTTAGACTATACCAAAACTTAAAATCCCCGACTCCCCTGACAGCCATCATTCTTATTCTCCCTCTCCTCTCATCAGGGTGCATATTAAAACACTCTAAGTGAATTCTGGTCTCTGGTCACTCAATTCTAATGGCATAAAAATTTGAAGTCCTTCCTAAATTCAGAATCCTAGCCTAAGAATGAAATGTCAATATACACTTAGCAGTTTTTCAACTTATGCTCACTGTGTTGTCTTTTGAAGTCAGGCTGTTTATAAAATGTCTCTAGGTAGCACTCGTTCAACAGCCCAGAAGAGACATGCCAGAACTGCTTTGGGGAACAGCCTTGTAAAAAAAACTCCTTCAACACAGAATTTGAAGATACTAACATTTAATGAGATCTCTACTGGGCAGGTGACGCTGTAAGCTGGAGTGATGCATTATGACCAAACCACAGAAGTCATTTCAATAGCAGAGCTGATAAGATTAAGTGAAGAGAGAGCGTGTTTCCTAGGGCGGGAGCGGGACTGTCCAATAAAACCTACCTCCCTGATATTTCAAGGATGAAATGTTTTTTTTCCGGCTGTTTAACTACTTTAAAAGTAAGGCATTGCAATAACCATGACTTTGTGTTCTTCCTTGGGATCAGACCAGTATTTGGCAGACAGGAGCTCACCATTTTCCAATGCCTCCTCCCTCCACCCCACTCCCAAGTACAAAAGCAAAGAGAGGTGATGATAAAATGATTCCTAGACCTATATACACTTTGCTACCAGAGCCTTAAACATCTGGATTTGTTTCATTGCATGTATCACAAAAATCAAGAAAACAATCTCATACCTCTTTGTCTGTGAAATGAGATTTATCCTTCTCTTGTTCTGGAGTAAGATAGAGAATTTTCTCCTCTGTAGTATTGGGGAAAAAATGTGTTAATCTGGTTCTCACAAAAGAATAGGTGTAAGTCCCACGAGATGAGGTAGGGTTAGAGAAAAGGGATCATAAACTTATTCTATCAACCTTATTTTCATAAGCCTGTCAATCAGCATGCATAGAGATATATTGTTTTTGTCACAGGGAAACAATGAAGACATCCAAGACACAGTCCTTGTCCCCAGAAAACAATCTCAACCAGGCATCAAGCATTTCAAACAGAAAAATCTATGCAAGGATGTGTCACACACTAGAGAGGAGAATAAGGTACACAGATCATCTGCTTTCTGACTACTCCTGAGAACAACCATCTTGCCCAAATCTCCAACCCAGACTTCCAGAAAACACAGGTCAGTAAAAACCAGCAATCTTATTTTCTAATTCTCATACCTTCTGTGCCTTGGCAATGAAGAACATATCTCATTATATCCAGATTTTCATAGACTATTAGAATCTCTACAGCTCCCATTTCTAAAGCCTTTAGTGTATCTTCAACTCCAAAACAGTACTTGCCCGTGTCCTGGCTGATTTCATCAAAGTATCGCCCTGTGATTAGGGACAGATCACAGTAAGGACAGGGATCAGTTTCCTTTGTAGATATACAGAACCCCTCTCCCCAACTCGATATCAGAAAGAGACAAAACAAACAAAGCTAAAATTTGATTGAATGCCAAAGTCAGTGAAAAAAATCCCAGCATTAGTTGAAGCTCCAGAAATCAACTCTCAAGAAGTACAGTTGGGCCAAATACTTAGCCCTGTGGAAATGTGTACATGCTCAATTAAGTCACAAACAAGACTCAACAATGGGCAAATTAATCTTTAAATCAGGCTTTCTATTCATCACTGTCAAGGGATAATTAACATGGGAAATAAGACTTAAGTGTGGTTCTATAGTCAAAGGGAAAAAAATAGTGGAAATACATACTTAAGTGTCTTTTTTCATATATACAGTTGTGTACATGCATACATATACATGAGAACAATTCACAGACTAGTTAATTGTTTTTGATACCTATTAATTTCTTCTCTTGAATGAATTTCACGTTAGAGAGGACTTCAGTAGATAATTCAATAGCTTGGTTAAATCCATTTTCACCACCATAGGATATATCAACTAATTTTAAAACTTTTGATTGCAACCTCTACACAAAGAAAGAGAGAAAGCATCATCAGTAACTCAAAACACCTTTATCAAGACCCACTAACTCTGAAGGGCTTGCATAACACAGCAACATGATCACTGAAGTCTAAAAGGGGAGGAACCCAATTTACTCATGAGCTGGTCTCAGTGGCCAACAATTGCTAGAGTAAACTTCCCCAGCCAGTCATTTCATACTCTAAGAGGTCAACTCATGAAGTACAAAAGTTTCCTGTAAATGAAAGGAAGAGGGGCCTCCCTGGTGGCGCAAGGATTAAAGTATCAGCACGAGCAAGCTATCGCCAGCCACTGAGGTATGAGTTCGCTCCCTAGCCAGAGAGCTAATCCACATAGTGCAGCAGACCTCTCCTTTCTCACCTGCTGCTCCCCTCAGCAGTGTATTTCAGTCAATCCACCTGTTTTGCTCCCTGTTCTGTCTCTGGTGAAACCTCTCACCGCCCTCCCCACCCTCCCATGGCCTACCCTCCCCATTCTATGCATAAAAAATAAAATAAACCTACAAAAAAAAAAAAAAAAAAAAAAAAAAAAAGAAAAAAAAAAGTAAACGTACTGTTTAAAAAAATTAAAAAATAAATGAAAGGGGAAACTGTTGGTTGCTTACATATAAGTAACGTGGCAGAAGACAAAATGAAACTTCTACTTTACCCCCCCCAGAAGAACACCCTAATGTGCTATAGCTTAATCTATTTAATAAACCAAAAGGTCTTTCAGATTAAATGCTTGAGGGCTAATCAGCTCTATAATAAATCTCAGAGTTTCACTCCTTTATTTATTTCCAGAAATAAATGCAAGAAAGTCAGGAAAACCAGCTCCCATTTTCTCCAAAATCAAACAAGTTTTAAAGTCAATTATGGCAAACCATTAAACCAGTAGTCTTCTAAGGTTTTTAACAGAGAAGCCAAGTCACTGCAAAAGGAGAAAAGATGTGCCTACACCAGATGTGCTGAAAGGACTCACTTTTTCTATCCAGAGACATCATAGAGCACTTCCTTCTCACTTACCTGGTCAAACATGTCAGATTGACTTAGTTCAGTTTTAAAATCAGCTGATCCAGCTAAAACGAGACCAGCCACATTCACTTTGTCCCCAGAAATAAACAGCTGCACAGCCGTCTCAGCTACTTTCCGAACATAGTTATGTCGCTTTTCCATTCTTAAACGCGCAAAACGCAAGGCTGACTGACCTCCTCTACCTTTGACACAAAAAAAGTGGTGAGAGAAATAAGGCAATTAATAAAGAAATACAAGATGCTTTGTTAATTAAGAAGTAACTAAATAATTATGTTATCATCCAAGAAAAGACAAAGGGAAAAATGATTATTTTGGGGCCTCCCTGGTGGTGTAGGGGTTAAGTCTCACGGCATTATCATCACTATGGCCTGAGTTCACTCCCCAGCCAGAGAGCTAACCCATATGGAGCAGCAGACCTCTCGGTCTCACCCGCTGCTCCCCTCAGCAGTGTATTTCAGTGGATCCACCTGTTCTGCTCCCCACTCTGTCTCTGGTGGGTCCTCTCACCCCCTGTACCTCTGGCCTACCCCCCCAGTTCTTCGATGAATAAATCTTAAAAAAAAAAAAAAAAAAAAAGACTATACTGTTATTTTGCATAAATTGTTACTCATTTTCAGAGTGACTATAAATTCTCATGGCTAAAAGAGCCATAAACACCAATGAGTCATGATGTTTCTCCCATGACCTGGATTTAACTCCCCCCTTACTATACTATTTGTTTCCTTAATGCTAGACCCAAAGCAAAGGGGCTTGTATTCTCTATTACCATGTTTCTTTGGGAGATCCACGGTGAATTTGTGCAGAACTTCTCTTGTGTTTCCTTGGAGTGTGCCAAAAAGTGCACCACTACCATCTATTACAATGAAGCCAAATTTGCTATCATCAGAAAGTAGTGCTGTAAGAGCCTGAAAAACACAAGAACCACACAATAAAACCCAAAGCTTGGCCAGGGTCATGACAAAAACGGAAAGAATTTTCTTTATTCCCACTCAGAATAATACAAATACCAAAACAAACTAACACCCAAAACTATGTTATAGAATGATTTATAGACTTCAGCTATAAATGTTACCTGTGTGAAACAAATCTGAAACTAGTGGAAAGGGAAAAAAACAAAACCCCAACTATATCTGTGAATTCTTTCAACATGCCTCGCCTGGGTACATGAAAACAGAACTAATACATTTACAAGGCTCAACTTCTTCCTAGTTACTGATTTGGTTTAGACTGATAGTAGTGTATGGAATATAACACTCAAATTATAAGTCTAACGTTTGTTCTGAAAGTTGAATTTCTGTTATCAATAATAACCCCAGTATTAATGGGCAGAGCTCACGATGGTAAATGAGTATATCCTGACAACTCTAGTTTCTAAGTACAAAACCCAGATACAGTCTATAAAAAAATCTTCCAGCTTTGGGCCTCCCTGGTGGTGCAGGGGTTAAAGTCTCAGTGCTGTCAGGATACTGCAAGCCACCACAGCATGAGTTTGATTCCCGAGGTCGATTCCGGCCAGGGAAATGACTCACATGGCATAGCAGACCTCTCCTGTCTCACCTGCTGCTCTCCTCGGCAGTGTATTTCAGTAGATACGCCTGTTCTGCTCCCCTCTCTATGTCTCTGGTGGGTCCTCTCACCCCCTACATCTCTGGCCTACACCCCAGCTCTTGTACGCATAAATAAATGTTAAAAAAATAAATACTTAACTCTATTTTAAAAAGTATCATAGCTAATGATTGAGTTTTTAATGGGGGTTGGGAGGGGAGAAGCGTATCCTCCCGTGTTAGTTAGCATTATATCCCCAAATTTCAACCAAGAGCAAATACTGAAATAGCCTTAGGACTCAAACTGATAGAGGCAAGTTTTCTTGATGGAATTTAAATACTATCAGTTTGGCAGATGACTAACTGCTAGGTGACAGTCTCTTAAGAAATAAGAAATTATTACAGTCATTTCTGAAAATAGCTCCTTCAAGAATTGACTAGAAAGCACATTAATCATTAAGAATCAATCTTTAACCAACCTGTGCTTAATAACTGGCATTAAGACATGTGTATTGCACTTGTTAAAATTCTTGCCTTATGTAACGATCTGTTGGGTAGCTTAACTTGGGTTGTTTTTTTTTTTTTTGAAGATTTATTTACGCATATAGGAGCTGGGGTGTAGGCCCAGAAGTGTGTGTGTTGTGTGTGTGGGGGTGGGGTGAGACCATTCACTAGAGACAGAGTGGGGAGCAGAGAAAAGAGAGGTCTGCTGAGCCATGAGGGGTAGCTCCCTGGCCAGGGATCAAACTCATGTTGCAGCAGCTGCCAATAGCTTCATAGCGGAGACTTCACCTCTGCGCCATCAGGGAGGCACCTAATTTAGGTTTTTAACAAGGGTGATAATTAGGGAATAATAATCTTATCCTTAATGAAAATGTGTAAATATCCTAATTATTCTGGAATTAAAATTGTGTTGTGCAGTATGCTACCTTCATTCTAGTTACTGACTTATCAGTTAAAGCCAAAATAAACAATGTTAGCAAAATCAAATGGTACCTAGGAAGAGAAGTTAAATTTTAGAAAAGCCAATGAAACTAACTTAATATATAAGCTGAAGCTAAATAACATGAGTACTAGGGACTGTTGAAATCAACAAGGTTCAAAATCTGCTTTCATCAAACCAGACACAGGTAAATGGAATAAGGTGGTCAAAAGCCTCCCTAGTGAAGCTTCTGCCAGAAAGAGGTTGTGAAAGCCAAAACAACAGTCTCACCATCTATGCAACCTACCACCATCCAACTAGAATTGGACTTTCTGTCAAGTTAGTAAAACCATCCATTGTAAACTGTGCTGACAAATGTCAGTTCTAATTCCAGTATAGAAGTTTTTCCCCTAGGTTGATGAAAGGCAGAAGACTGAACTAGAAGCCAGCTGTGAATTCCTGATTGTTCTACTGTTGACTGATTTAGGTCACTCTAATGAGGTTTTCTTTCCACCCTTAAAGTTCATCTTATGGCAGCTTTGTCAGTCAAAAGTTTCATAGGGGAAAAAAAGCTCTTCTAGTCCTGCTACTAAAGAGACTACAATTGTGAGCAATAAACTAATGGTGCAAGGAATATAGGCAAATACGGGTATACAGGGAGAGGAGAGGTCAGGTAATCATTGTTTCTTGTTCTCTAAACTCAGCTTAGCACTTGCCTCAAAAATGCTGAATAATTATGTCATTCAGAGTCACAATGTAAATTCTTTTATATTTTATATTCTTTTATTCTTTTATATTTTCAAATATAAACAGAGCCAGAGATTTGTGAAGTGATACAATAATTTAGAAAACAATCTGCAATTCCTCAAAAGACTAAACATCGTTGAATTTCCGCTTCCAGGTACATACCCAAGAAACTTGAAAATATAGTCACACAGAAACCAGTATACATATACTCAAAATAGCACTATTCATAACAGCCAAATGGCAGAAATGACACAAGCTGATGACTGGCCAAAATGTGGTACAACCATAAAGAGATAAAATATTGCAAGTATGTGTCAGTAAAAAGGGAAGGAGTACAGATACATACCACATTAAGGACAAACCTTGAAAATACTAGGCTAAAGGAAAGAAGGCAGTCACAAATAGTCACCCACTATGATTCCATTCATATGACAAATTCTAAGCAAATCTATAGACACAAAAGAGATGGTAGCAGCCTAGAACTGAAACATCTAGGGGGGAGAATTGGGAGAGATTGCTAATTTGAATGTGGTTTCTTTTTTGGGTTATTCTTACCTCTGTATGGAATTTGTTGTCACACAAATACAATGATGTATTAATTGGTTTGAAAGGTTCAAAGTCAATGTTGACTTTCTTTTCCTTTCCTTCTTCTGTTACAATTGTACCACAGTAAACAACCAGGCCATTTGGAGGTACTGCAAAGAATACAAACAAATTTCTCTACTTAAACCCGCATCTAATTATTTTCTTTCTTTTTTTTTTTTTTTTGGGTCATCTTTATTTTATTATTAATTTTTTATGTTTCATGATGTCCTTTTATTTTTCACTTTTTTCTCCTTTGGGAAAAGGAAATAACTTCTTTGAGCAGTATTTCCATGAATCTATACACATGAAAAATGTCTTTTTAATATTGTTATTAATTTGTCATTGTCCTTTTTTAAATTTTTATATTCCCCATACAATTGCAACCCCCTTATTTTGACCCCATTCTCTCCTTTCCTCACCCCACCCCTTAATTATTTTCGATAATAGAAAATGTTTCCAAGTCTATTGTCCCTGCCCCTTTAAATCATGATTTAAATAAAGAAATATTTGTAAATCACTCAAGCATAATTCTTTCCCTGATTTTGAAACGCCATTTTGAGATGTTTTCAAAAGGAGGATTTATTCATTTAAGTACAGTAAATACTACTTAACTTAAAAACAACAACAACAAAACCTTAAAAAGACGGGCAGGGGAACTCCAAGGCAAAAGGGAGGTTGCCAAAGGCTGGCTGAAGGAAACACCAATGAGGGGCAAAAGCATCACGGAAGAATCAAAGTTGAAAATATAACCATGACAAAGTAGAGGAGGCATATGATTGAGTTCCAAATTACCTTTGTTATAAAGTTTGAGTCTTTGTTGTACAGATGTAATGGCTCCCAGGACTGAAAGGCGGTTTACTCGTGACTTAATGTTAGATGCAGTTCCAAATTCATCTGCTAACATTTTTGCCACTCGGGAAATCTGGTCTTTGGGCGGAATGATCAATGATATCATGCTTGTGCCATTGCTGTGGAATAAAGAACATTGCAGGTTCAAATACCAAATAAATAAATAGTTTTAATTCATGCTTTATCATAAGTAAAGGGAGCTAGATGGAGATGTTCCCAAAATAACAGAACTATATCACCCTTAAGGTAGCTGGGATGGTGAGAGTTAAGACTGTACCAGTGTAATCAAGTATATCCAGAGCTAGAGCAGTGTTCAGAACACACAGTGTGCTCACTCATTTGAATGAGTATTAGCTATGGAATATTAATTATATAAAGGCAGGCAATTCAAGACATACTTTTGAAACACTTCATTTCTCAGGGATTAAGAAAGAAGCTTTGATAAAGGGGTGACAATAGGCTAGAATCTGACAGTGAGCCCATGGCAGAGGCTTGGAATCTGACTGTTCTGCAGTGGCAGATGCCATCACAGGATGATGCAACAAGCTTTCCAAAATCTAGGGAAAATACTACTTATTATTACCCTGTTTCCCATTTTTCTTTAAATTACAGGCTCACCTTTAAAATCTATAATCACTAACTTAGCACCCTAAATAGCTTAATAATGGGAAAGGAGAATCTTGGAATATATGCTAGGAATCTTTTGTAAACTCAACTCTACACTGATGCCAGCAACATCACTTGTTAGTCACACATTCTCAAGACACTTATTAGCACCACTAGTTAATAACTATCTTAACTCAACATTCCTATTTTTACAAGAAACAAATAAAACAACATTATCAATTTGTCACTAATCACTAAGATAATGCAAATCCAAACACAAAACTGCTTCACACCTATTAGGATAACCACTAGCAAAAAAGACCCTCACATTCAAAATTCTGAAAAATAACAAGTGTTGGTGAAGATGTGGAGAAAGTAGGACCCAGGTGTACATGGCTGATGGTAATGTAAAATGGTACAACAGTGTGGCAGTTCCTCAAATAACAAAGACAATAAATTGTCTATCAATCCCATTTTCTGTAATTATACCCCAAAGCTTGAAAACTAGGAATCATATAGGTACTTGTGCAATAAAGCACATTAACAACATTTCACAAAAGCGGAAAGGTTGAAACTATTCAAATGTTCTTTAGCGAATGAATAATAAAAGGTCAGATAGATACAATGGGATATTATTCAGCCTTGAAGGAAATTGTGACACATGGATGAAACAAACACATGCTAAGAGGAGTAAGCCAGCCATAAAAGGACAAATACTGTATGATTCCCCTTGTATGATGTATTTAGAGCAGTCAAATCTAGAAATGAACAGAATGGTGGTTGCCTGTGGCTGGAGGGGAAATAGGAATTTGTTTTTTAATGGGTATGTATTTTCCGTTTTACAAGATGAAGGGTTCTTGAGATTAGCTGTACAGTAATGTGAAAGCACTTAACACTACTGAACTGAATACTTAAAAATGGTTAAAATGGTAAATTTTGTTAAGCAGTTCTTAGTTCTTTACCGCACATTAAAACCATCTGAATTCATACTAGATGACTTTTTAAAAATGGTTCCTTTAAAGTTCCATTCCTTAAGGGGCTTTTCTTCACCTTTGACTTTCCAGTTTAAGAAACATAAATCACAACAAACTCTCAATACCCAAACAACAACGAAAAATTACTATTTAAAACACTGGATTATCTGGATGCAGTGGACTTCACCAAAAAGAAAACTGGTGACTCAAAGACACCATCGAGAAGTGAAAAGACAACTTGCAGAATGGGAGAAAAAAATTGCAATTCATACATCTGACAAGGCACTTATATCTGGGATACGTAGAGAACTCTTGTAACACAGCAACAAAAAGACAACTCCTATAAAAAAATGGGCAGAGGACTTAGACAAACTTTTCCCTAATTACTGAGTCTGCATAATTTCACAATAGCCCAACACAACAGAATCTCACATATCCAGTGTCCAGTAGAAGGCGGCAAGAAAAAGAAATTATAGGTGGGTACAATATTAAGCCAAAGGGGCTTATGTATCAAATGACTGATAAAGAAGGGAAGAGGCTCAGGGAAAGGAACAACGACAAAATAAAAAAAACTATTAGTTTTATAACTACAGATGTCTGAAATCTGAAAATGCTTGGGCACACCTTCGTATAGCAAAACTAATTTCACAAATGTCTATCACTGTATTTGGTTTTCCTTAGTATTAGCACTAGAAACAGGCTCATTTATAAGCGGCATGCTGTGCCCTCTGAAAGTTTTCTACCAGTGGTAAATTCCATAGGTATCAAGGAAGACACATTTTCTTTATAAGCAGACAAAATGACTAGATCTTCCACTATCAAAATATACTGTCATCAGATATTATATTGGGCAAATCCACCACAGGTGTTTATACTCAAAGTCTAGAAGGCTGGTTTATAACCTTTGTGGTACTTTAACCAAAACGCTGTAAGATGACTAATGACAGCACAAGGTAAATTATGGTGTGTGCTCTGCTGCCACCCCTTGGATCCGGGAGCAAGTACTCTAGCCAAACCAGAGACTAAAAGGAACATGGTAAGCACCCCCAGTTGTCATCACAAACATAGGCAAAATGGTCAGAAAACAAGGTTGCTTCCAAAGTATGGTTTCTATAAAATAAAATCCTACAAACCACAAAACCTGATCCATAGTTATTTCTTCATCTATATCAATAGCAGGCCTCTATTCAAATCAGCTCAAATTTCAAACACAGTACTAATACACTAGAGTGATTCAGAATAACCCCTGGCTCAAGTATATACACATTTATATTGTAAAATGGACCACTATGTAAAATGTTTTTATTTTAAATTTCATAGTACAACTACACAAAAGGAACTTCTCTAAGCTAGGACAAGGGAAAAAAAGAATCAAAAGATCAGTTGCATACAATTCTGTGGTCACATTCAAATTTCTCAACTAGATGAAAAAACAATTCTCAAAAGACATCTATTATTATTATTATTTAGAAAGCTCCTTACAGTCAATGTTCTTTGAGGTTGTAGGTGCCATCTACCTGTCTTTCTCTACAGAGGATTTAAGTTATGTACATAATATCACAAGAAGGGGGAGGTGAGGAAGGCAGGTACATCTGACACAGGGTTTGTCAACATATGCACATGCATAATATGAAAATATACATGATGGGGAAAACAGAAAACATACTTCTGAATACAATCTTTACAGGCTTAGCTTGTTTTCAGAACAACAATTCTCCAGAGAGCATATTTCTCTACAGGCTCTTGGAAATCTTTAGAGACTAAGGGAGCTATTTCTCAAAAAGGGTGCAGTTTTTGAAAGTTGACATGCTCTGATTTACAGAGTAGTTTCCTAGGAGATGCAACTAGCCAACAGGCCATCAGCAGGGAATGGAAATGTTAGGGGGAAAGGATGTCCTGAGCTAATCCCATACAGGCTTTGTGGACTCCACCCCCACTCCAGACCAAAGTCATCAAGACATTGGGAAAGACAAATCCCGTCACCATCAAAGGGAAAGTGGCTGGGACCTGAGGGTGGAGTTAAGCAGCCAGGTTGGGTATAAAAAGCAGACACGTGGGCCTTGGGGGGCTTGCTCTCTCGGCTAGCCTCCTGGCTTCACTGCTCCTGGCTCGTGGACAACTCTGAGTGCCATTTGGGATTCCAGATCGGTGGATCGGGTAGGACGCATTTAAAACTTTGTCTCCCATTTTTCTCCCTGAGCTGCACATTTCCTCATTTGCCCTTCCCTTGTAAATAAACCTTTTATTAACCTTTCGTGTGTGCCTGCAGTAGAGAATTGATAAGTCCTTTTAAGCGCGCAGGTGAGGACCCACAGTCAGGCACCCCCTTTTGTATCGGGGCTGCGCTATAACAGAAAGAGAAGGGGCGCCACTAATAGAAGAGGTAAAGAAGCAGAGCTCAGAAGAGAACAGGCACCAACAAATCCAACATTTGCAACTTAAGAAAAGTTGGGACAAATTACCTGGTGAGGCCAAAATGCCTAGAGGAAATCCTTAAAGCAAGATAACCACTGCAGGACAAAGTTGTGACCTTAAGATAAGCAGCTATTTATTTTCCACTGCAGACAGGTTAAGAAGATAAGCATTTCTTTAGCAACCTTGCCCAGAGGTGGTTGACAAAACCTTACAGTTTTGTCACAATATTCTAAGAACAAAGTAGGTAAGACACCTAAGAACATAATCTTATTATAGAATTCCATTTTTTTAAAAAAATGGTCCCAAAGTGTAGCTTGCCAAAATGTCTTGACATATATTTACCAAGGTGCTAAACCTGAAACACTAAGTTTCAGTCTCTTACTCCTTTTGAATTTTGACTTAAAGTCAAAAAATTCCTTTTTTTTAAAGTTTCCTTTTATGCCTCTCCCTATATGCTCTGGGGTGAAACCTTAAGTTTCTGAATTCATCTTTATTATGATACCTGACAGGAAGAAGAGGCAAGGATTACTAAAGGGATGATTTCTAACTTTAGAGATGGATGCTACTTTATAATCTCTGATGTTTTTGTTTTATATGTTGGGTTTAATACAAGCAGATTAAAGTTTTTTCCAGGGAAGTTCCCAAACCAAATCAACACTCATTTAACCTCCAACAAGTCATCAAAGTCGTTAGACCAGTTTGTGTAAACATCAAAATAAAATCAAGGAAGTGGAATATTTCATTTTCAAGTAGAGCAAACGACCCACAGGGGAGAATGAGAAATGAAGTTCTCACTAAGGAGTTGCTTGCTACATATATGGACTATAACCTTCTTTAATTTTTAATATTTTTATTCACTCTTGTGCTTTGTCACAATTACCACTTTTTCAAAATCAAAAGGCTCTCATTCAAGAGCCATTAATCGTGAAGTACAGCAATGAATGATTCACAGGCAGATCGTAAAAACTGGCTGACCAACACACAACAGACAACAATGTGCTGCTTAAGGCTTCCGGGTCTCTGCTCTCAGATTTCTTGTTATCACTTTAGGGATACTGTCCCTTATCACAGACGGTTCACTAAAACTTCCACCAGAGGACTAACATCTGAGAATAAAGCAGCTGGGAGACAGGAGGAAGAAGTAGTTGTAAATAGACTAAATACAGACAGTAAACAAAACTAGACAAAATTCAGGAAGGAAGAGAACTTAAAGGAACAGCTGATAGTTATCCCTTCCCTCAGATGATAGCTGCAGCCTTTGGATGCCAGGGGCTTTCTGATGCAGCCCCAAACAGGAAAATGTAGGCACTCTTTGACCTGCAAATACCTTATCAAGGCTCACCATCAATATTCAAGAACACTACAGAAAGGTTAAATGGGAAAAACAAAACACATGTGGTTGCGACAGGCTTGTCTATCCTCCAATATGCTGGAGAACCCCAGAATCCTTGGCAAGTTTTCTAAACATGTAAAACAAATGCTCAGATACAAAGAATAAATAAATATAAATTATCCTTTCACTCTATTCTGATGCAATAACTCTTGAACAGGGAGAATGAAGACAGTGACTAATACATCTGGGAGTCTCAATTTTCAAATAGAATCCAACAAATTCTGTTACAGGGCAACAAATCTGACTGTGAGTCTTCACCTATGGGCTTAAAAGGGACTTACAATAAGATTCAACTGCAGGCACACACAAAAAGGTTAATAAAGGTTTTATTTACAAAAAAGGTTGGAAATGAAAGGAATAGCTGAGGAAAAAAAAAAAAGGGACAAATTGGTGAATGCGTGCTACCAGTTCCACTGAGCTGGGACCCCAATAGCACGCTGAAAACAGGAGAACCCCCCTCACCCCAACCCTAGATGTCCGGTTATATACCAACCCTGGCTGCTTAACGCTACCCTCAGTTCCCAGCAATGCTCCCTTTGGTGGTGACATTATAGGATTTGTAGTCCTCAGTGTCTTGGATCTCTTTGGTCTGGGGTGAGGGTGGGGTCCATAAATCCCTCTGGATCGCAAATTCTACCGCACAAGGTCATAGGATTCTATTTTTTTTTTAAAAAAGGGCAAGTGTCTAACATTAATAGCAGGTAGTACAATCTCACTAAATGTTAACTAGATGGAACTCCAGATTCTTGTCCCCCTTACTCCCTACCCTTTAAAAGAAAAGAGTTAGCATTACAACATAGCTAGAAGTAGGAAGACAAAAAGCAATGTTAGTTCAGTTGAAGTCTTACTTGAATCTGAGTAGGCCCAAAGAGAGAAACGACTAGATTATGGTTAAGTGATGATCACCTTAATCAGATTATAGGATCTGCCAAATCTTCCAACAAAAGAAAGAAACCAAAAATGCAGTTCAAAACAGCATGGTCAGAACACCAGAAACACGTCTTTGTAATTTATCATAAGGGAGGAATATAGAAATTCATTCCTCTCCAAAATTTTATTTTTATTATTTTTAAAAAGATTTATTTATGCATACAAGAACTGGGGTACAGGCCAGAGGTGCAGCGGGTGAGAGGATTCACCAGAGACAGAGTGGGGAGCAGAACAGACTGACTGGAATACACTGCTGAGGGCAGCAGCGGGCGAGTCAGGAGAGGTCTGCTGCACCATGTGGGTCACCTCCCTGGTCAGGGATGGAACTTGGGCTGCAGTAGCTGTGGATAGCCTCATAAGCTGTGTCTTAACCCCCTGCGCCACCAGGGAGGCCACCTCTTCAAAACTTTAAATGGTTACATGAAAAGTGACTTTATCTCACAGTTGTGACATGGGTTTAGTATTTTGATATTACCCATAGTCAGTTCCTTCAAAGATCTGACCTGTTTTCTCTTCTGCCCAGTATTCAACAGTGAAAAGGCACTTAGTGTGTACAGTAGGTCTACTTTAGGTTCTTGAGGGCAGAAATCATTTTAGCATACACTGGATTCTCAAATATTTGATGAATGAATAGTTAACTCTATATCAGAAAAGGGCCTTCTCTATAAAGCTCTTTCTAAGCAGCTCCGGAGATTTTTTCTAAACCACCAAATAAAATGCCAATTAAAAATGATTTTGTTAATCTCTGCAGAGGAATTAATATGTGCCTAAAATGACTAACTGTCCCTCCATTAGCATCCTATCCTATTGTTAGTCTTTTTACCATAAAAAAAAAATCAATACTTTCAGAGTACCTTCCTTTGCAGCCCTTAATTTCGTTTCTTCTCACCTACTTGCTCTTCGCTACCAATATCATCTATGATGCAGGTGAGAGGTAGATGGAACTGCTTTTTTATAAACACCAAACTAGGAGGAAACTAGGAGGATTCTGTTACTAAGCAAAAAGGTCAGACAAAACTTTCTGAAATATTGTGCACTCCACCTGGGGTCAGATGCCAGTAGCAGATATGTAGAGGACTATTTATGAGAACTAAGAACTGAACATTTTGAGACATTAAAGGTACCCTTTATCTTAGAGAATAGAGTAACTCAGATGCCCCAAAAATTTTCAGCAAAAAGTTTACAAAGGTTCAGTGGAGTGTTTTATCCTCAAGAGCACTAAGATTACTCACATATACATCTGGTGGCATATCAGCTGCTTCTACAATCACAATCATTTACTTTGTCTTAAAAATTATAACAATGTCGGGCCTCCCCTGTGGCTCAGTGGTTGAGCGTTGGGTTGCGAAGCTGCCCGCAGCCTCTGCAGTGCCGGTTCGATCCCCAGCTGCTCCCCGGCCACCGGAGGAGGGTCCCACATGGTGCGCAGACCTCT